TAATAATTTGCGAAAAATTGGTTTGTAAATTTGAGGGTGTTACAAAATCTACATTGATTATTACAAAGTAAGCCATAATCAAATAAACGAATAATAAATTCAACATAGTATATAATTTAGCCATTTAAAATGCATGAATGCATGACCTAGGCCGGTATGGCCTTTCATGACCAACAGAATGCCCCCTGGCACTCTTTAACTCGCAGGTAAACCTTATACCTACTTGTACCTCCACAGGCACAAAACATAATCTAAGGCATGATCTAATCCACCGAACCGCCTATGCCCCTTCAACGTGAATCCTGAGCAATCAAAGCTAACTCCCTCCCAGAGCCAGCCCGACTTACTCTTCATGTGAGGGCTACCTTGGCCTAGGCACTCAACCTCACACTTCATATGTCGGATTCCCTCCCCCACTGAGAGGTATCGAACACTCAATACACTAACCACTTTAGTGCACTGAGCCCACAATACGTAAGACAACACTGAGTACTGACAGTGTGCCATAGAATATCAAAAATCCACACCTTCTCATTGGTGAACTCCCATCGAAATCATGCCTTTTACTCTTGTCTACCTTTCCTGAGTATTGACCATTCAACACTCTAAAGTAGTATAATATTTATAAATCTCATTTCCATAAAAACATTGTTATTAAACAATTAGAAAACATATTTGCACTATAATCAAAGTAGTACCCCATAACCCCTTATAAAGCATATCTAATCTTTTAAAACATGTAATGCATGATAACTAGTAATATTTATTCAAAAATAGCTAAAACAAAGTAATAAGAAATATAAATTCCCCTGTTACCTCAACCTTTTGGTACCAAAAGGGTTCTCTTTGTACAAAATAGAGCTCGGCTTGTTCCTTACTTTTCAATAAGTTCCACCAACAATTTTCTACAACATATAAGTGATCCACATCACTTATCATGACAAATAGCATTAATGAAGACTATAACTCATACCACACAACTTGGGTCTATGAGCCATAATCCATCCCAATGGTCCATATATTAAACCAACCATTCACATAGTATCACTTAACCACCAAAACCATTTATTAGCCATCATTAGGTTAATTTTCAATTTATATAATTTTTTAATCAATTAAAAACCTTTACTTAGTGCCACCAACTTTCACCATTAGCCCTTATAATGAAAACTAAACCTTAATTTAAATCTTATTGGGCTCAAATAGCAAAATTATAACTAAATCAATAGGCTTAAACCATTGAGGAGCAAAAACCCAATTTCTTAGGGTTTATTTTGTGCCCAAAACACCTCTTTTCATCCAATTATTCACTTAAAACATTAGATCACTATATAGAAACTCAAAACATGCTCCCTAGGATCCAAAGAAACAAAAGCTTACAAGAATAAAGCCTTTGAGATCAAAATCCAAAAATCTCCTCTTCCAAAAATTAAAGAAAATCAAGAGAAAGGGAAGAAGATTGAAGTAGGGAGTTTATCTATCATGTAGCCGAGCTCGCAACGGTCACAAAGACTCCTAGATCCAAGCCTAACTTCCTCCCTTTCTCCTCTCTCCTCTCTCTCTCTCTCTCTCTGCGTTTTGTTCTTCTTTCCTTTCTCTGGGTTTCTGCGTCTCTTTTCCCTTATAAAAGCTGATCTAAAAGTTTGGAGAAAATTACAAGAAATGGCCCAACATTTTTTATTATTGCACAAAAGCTCGGGTCAACTTTGATAATTTTTCCATAGTTAAAAATCAAATAAAACTAAACTTTTGCTTAAAAAAATTTAAACTCTGAACCTTTATCAAATTATTCTAAATTTTAATTTAATTATAGATATTTTATTTTATTTTTATAAATTCGAGTCTTAAAATTTCGGGATGTTATATTTTTACAACTAATATAGAGGAAATAATAAGTGATGTAACTTGATTAACATGTAACATATACGAAGTTGACAAAAAAAAAATTCATGCTGGTACTTGTGATAATATGCCATAAAGTACTTTCATGAAATTACACATAAGAGATATTTAGAAGATAGCAACCTATTGCAACAAAAAAAACTATATGGATTGTACAAATGTACATAAGAGTTGCTTTCCCAAAGAACAAAAAATCTAAGTTAAATTCATATATAGAATAACAACAGCTATATATATAATAAAAAAATTAATTGTCAATTAACCAGTTCAGTTAATATTGGAATTCTTGCAACTCTTCCTCATATGACCAGCTTTACCACACCTAAAGCAATGATATAACTCATATCTTGTATTTCCCTCTAAAGTCTTCACAAATTCACCCCCATATAAAAGATGCAAAATAATTGCTTTACAGGATTGGAAGCCATAAGTCATATCGACGTGTATGTCATTAAAATTTTGACTTCAATTACTTTATCAGTACTAGACGAAGTCATAAATTTACAATGAGAATTATAATATTAACAACATAACATTAAGCTTTTAACAACTCACAATATAATGATAGAACTTCTAATACCCAGCAACTCTATATTTGCGAATTTTAATGTGAACACTTTATATCAGCTAAAAGCCCCACCTCTTTCATGCCAAATCATCGATTCATTCCATACTCATTTCCCATACTGAATCCATACCTATACCCATACCAAATGTTTCATATACCCATTTGCATTTAATAGAAGATGCCTTTAATTACTATAAATTACAGTGTTTTACCTCCGTACGACTAATTGCTACTTAGGCATCCTCCAAAAACATCCTTGTTTGACAGCCATTTCATTTGGAATCAGATTGCATGGAGAAGGAAGAATCGAATTACATAGAGAATGAATAATCAAGAATGAGGTAAGGGATGAATCTTATGGGCTTATGAGTGATGAATCTTACCGGCCACTCCTCCTTAAGGTGAAGACTGATAAATAGAGAAGTACATGTTGAGCTTTCGTGCACATTTCTTTCCTTCCATCAGCTGCCTATTTTTAATTTTTTTGCAAAAGGGTATTTTCATCTTTTTCACATTCAAGTTATTTTCACTTCAATTTTGGAGGACTAATATGAGGTTTTAGATTGTTTAGGGATCCACCAAAAATTAACTGTCTTCCCAGATCTTTAACTAAAATTCTCCTTAAAAATATTTTATTTTTTCAAGAAAAAAAGGGTACAAACAAACTGCTTGAGCCCTTTTCTAAGGGTCTAACAAGTAAATAAGATCTAACTTAAAAAACTGATTATACCAATAATTTTCTATTTTTTAAGTTGGAACCCTTATAAAAATGGGTTAAACAAGCGGTTTGTCAAGGTCGATCCTTATTCTGAACTTTATCAACTAGCTCTTGCAATTAGAACAGAAGAGAATAACTTTTCAAGGAAGAGAACAGATTCTCTCCATATGTAAGAGGTTCATACTTCTTCCCTTTACTCTGTTTCAGTTATTTCCTTTTTAATTGTGGCAACAGGAAATATGCACTCATCTTACCTGGAAAACAATGTTATATAGTTCGAGTCATGCAATGCAAAGAAATGGAGAACAAACATATCAACTGGGTGTTTTTGGGATGAAAGCAACGCGTGAATCAATGAAATTATTAGAATTGGGATGAAGCTTGAATAAAAGCTAAAAAGCAGGTCTGCCAATTGGCACTTTCCAATTCTTCATTCTTCCGAAACCATGATGTCTTTAGCTTCTCTCTTGATTGGAAAAAAATTATTTTTATCTTATCCAAAAAAATACCAATTATGTACTATTTGCAAGATAATTTTTAAAATTTTATACGTAGATTTAATTGTGATACAAGTCGCCAAAAAAAAAAAAGATACAAGAAAGAAGATTCGGGTTATGTCTGCCAATTCTAAATGCCTAAAATCTCAACCTTTCAAACAGTCATAGAAATTTCATCAATTTTTTGTAAAAAATCAATGACTGATTTAAGACAATAAGAATAGTAGAAAGGATAACAAACACAATAAATTAGACCAATCTCCTACCTTGTGTTATTGGTATTACTTTTTTTTTTTTCCTTATACCCACAAATATTTTTTTATTAGAAACAATCATGTTTAAGGCACTATTGAGTATTTAAATGTAGATACCTCTCTCTCAACATTTATTTAAATCTTGGGTCATCACTTTATGTGTGACTAATCCCTTTTGCCAGAAATAATTAGGGTTATGCAAAAGTGTAGTTGTCCTGTCTAACCTAGTTTAACTTAAACAAATTCAATCTAGTAAAAAAAAAAAAAGTGATCCTTCTCAAATTAGATCGGACAAGAGACTAAGCTCTCAAATCACTTGATCTAATTTAATTCTATAAAATTATTTTAATATACTTTAAATTATTTTTAATATATTTAAATAGTTTGGAGTTTGAAAGCAGCATTTGCTCCATTCATATATCACTCTTTTATTTGATATAATTTTAATTTAGCTTGTTGCTAAATTGTTATTGTAATATAGATTAGATATGTTGATAAAGTTTATTAAATATTGCTGTTGTTGAAGTTATGAGTTTGAATTATTTAAATTGTAACTGAAATATTTGATATAAGTATTTATTATCTTAATTAAATTTATTAGGTTAAAATGTATTGTTGACTTTCATAGAAAAAGAAGGGGTGAAAAAAGCTAAGTATTGGATTGTCAGCCTGTCAAGATCGATCTCTCATTTTATGAACTAAGTTTGATTTTATTAATATTCAAGATATAATTAATATTTAGACCTAATCATGGATTACCTAACTCAACTCTTTTCATGAAAGAGATTAAATTTTAGATTGAACCAAAAACCACTCTTATCAAATCATTTGTGCAGTCCTAACAATCCCATTAGTTTGGTAAGGCCTCTAATGTGATTTCATACTCTTTTTCATTCAAAAATATCGTAACAAATATTAAATATATCATATTTCGATTATCATATAATGCATCAAATGCATGATATAAATTCTGGCAAAAAAAAAAGCACAATATAAAGGTTATAAAGAAAATTTATTATATATCAAACTTGGCAAAATCCAAGTCACCATGTATTACCAGTCGTGGTGTATGTGGTATAATCTCGTGACCTTGCAGTGAATTGAGAAGAGAGACTTTCGGTCGCGGTGGTTTCCTTCTGCTTAGGGATTCAGTGAATTTCTAATTGTGATTCAGAGACCGAAGTAATACGAGCTGAAGACGAAGTGGTATCAGAAGGAGCTTCTCCCACTGAAGGGTGGCTCACAGAGAGGCCTCTCTTTCATTGGAATAAATCCGATAGACGAAGAAGAAGAACAAGTATAATGTCATATGCGGGATTTGGGAAGGAATCAGGGCCTTCAGTGCCACCCAAATCACAACCAGTCTTTGGCCATACTAACCCTTTTCTCCGTCCGCCATCTTCTTCTCTCGCAACTCTAGCTGCTCCTTATGCCACTTCGCCGTCACCTCCCAGAGCCAGGTATTTCGTTCATTTGATTTCTTTTCCTTCTCTGCCTGAAATGTTTAAAATCGTTTCATTTTGGGATTTGACTGATTTCCCGCAGTTTGTGGGAGAACCCAGTAAACATATAGAATCTTTTGAATTATTGAAAGATGTTAGGCGGTGAAATAGAGTTTTTGCACGTTGAAGAGGACCACAGTAGGGAATTTGAGGATTTCATTAAGTGATTCCTCGTTTAAATAGTGACATTATGTCAACTACCCTAATTTCATTTTACTTCAAGAGATTGTAAATCGGCGAACGGGACTGGTATAGGGACCAGTCAATTTTCCATGTTGCAAGCATTTTATAAGTTCATGTCTATGCATCAACTAGTATATGATCAGGTGTTTTTCTTTAGTGTTTGCTATATTTTCTGAAAGAACCATTCTTTTTTCCTTCTTTGGACGGGATATTCTTAAAGTGGATATAATTTGTCACTAAAGATTGCGTTGTTGATACTTGATAGATGATGGTACGTACTGTCTTTAATATCCATGGTGTTCTTCTGTCTTCAGTGTTGGGCAGAATGTATTTTATGGACATTTGGGTGCCCCTGCTCCTGAAAATCTCGCAACAATTACAACACTTGCTGCCTCGCGGGATTCCACCTCTGGTATCACAGCCAGAGTTTCGAGATCTCAAAACCCAGAAAAAATCAGATCTCTTCCCTTACCATATGCCGGCAATGATGCATCCAAGTACCCTGGTCAAACTGTTTTGAGAAGGTGCGATCATTTTATCTTTAATACCATTATTTTTCTCTATATTATCCTTAATTTAAATCTGAACTCTGGTTGTCACTTGTGTAGTCTGACGGGCTATTCCTTAAGTATGGGAAGGGAAAGGAAATGCGGATGTCGTGCCCTCATTTAAAATAAGAAACACAGACAAGTACTGTTGATTAAAGTAATTGATGTTATATATATATATATATCGTATATCTTGTTTTTAATGCAATAGAAAGGGTTTCCATTTCCCTCCCTATACTAAACAGGCCCTGAAAATATGCTAATCCAGTTTTTAAAATACCAAAGCTTCTGCACTATTGCCTGCATACTAGTAACCATGCTTATCACTTCACAATTTCTTGAATTCAATTCTATGTTATATATATTTGACTAAATGAAGTGGTTCATGGTTCAAGGTAAGCGGGCTTGGTTGCCTGATCCTTTTCGGTAATCCTGACATATGGAAAATCTTACAGTGTGTGTATGAATAAATACATCATACATGCTAAAAGAAAACATCACTAATGTAGTTTATTATCCGTTGAGGTCTGTTGTCTGTATGCGTATTTTCTGTACATTTTGGTGTGCATGGTATTATGGGGATCAGAGATTCTCTGTCATATTGTCTTCCAGAAAGACATTGTGTTTCTATATTCTTCTGCTCGTATCCTTTTAGTTATACGCTCTTATGTTTACCAAACATGACTTTGGCTAATGACTTTGTCTCTTTTTCCTTTCTAATTTATCTGAGGCCTTAACTTGTGCTTTACTGCTCAGCAGCCCCTCAAAATTTCTTGCTGATGACCGTAATCAGTTACTTCATCTGAAATCGCAATCACCTCCTTTAGTACCTGTAAATTATCAGTCTGTTCAGAGTTTTCAGCCTTCTATTGCTGTTCAACGGTAAGTTTTAGGTTTTTCTCTTTCATCTCCTCTCTTTCACTGTATCTTTGGTTGTCTCTGTGTGTATATTTATATAATTTAATATTGAAACCTGGTCTTGTATTTTGGCATTCTCAATGTGCGGTAAATTGTCAAAACACACTTCTGCAAAATTTTGCCAGGGCTTCATGGGCATTTATTCTGTACAGTGGAATGCTCTCGCTTTCAATAGTTTGTTGAATACTTGTCTTGTCATTATTGCTCCTGTTGAAATATGGCATGCCCTGTTCAATACTATGGTTGCATGATCTAGGATAGACTTTCAGTTGAGGATTATTGAAATCTTCCTTTGAGTGAAAGAAAGGGAGAGAAGAGAGGCATGGATGGGATTAATGATAAGCTTTTTTGGGTTCCTTGTGTGTCTATTCGTTTTAATAAATCTAGATTAATAGGGGGATTAGGTAGTATGAGATGCCTCAGTCCCATATCAATTTGGGTAGTGTGGGATGCTTTAGTGTGGTACTTAAGGATAATCCATCGCTACACTTAATAATGTTTGTTTAAAGGCGGATTCTCCATGGCTCCTGGGCTCATATAATAAGTGAAGAGTAATATATAAACACAAGGCAAACTCACTCATGATGATATGCTAATATCTGTCCCACCCATCACTTTATTGTAGCCCTGCTTCATGAGCAGAAGATTATAGAAGCTTCAGTTTGCTGCAAATAAAAAAAAAAAATCCAAAATTAGACACCAAGAAACTTTCACCATGATTTAGAAACTTCATCAGCTAGCAATTCCTCTGACAATGTTTACCTCTCCAAAAAAACTTTGAAAAATTCATGAACATGCTTACATTACGTGGTCCCCTGACATGCTCCTAGCTGCTCTACTTGATCATGTTGTCTAACTTTTTGTGGGGCTCTTATAAGCTTTCAATTTACTTCCCTTGAGCAGTCCTCTTAGCCTATGATAACAGGTTACAGGGAAAGACAAAACGTCGAAGAATTAGACGTTTATTTTTGTTTTAGAATATTGGAGTTTATTATTGTCTTGGAGTCATATGGTTATCACTTAAGGTCATTAGATAAGTAATAGGGAATGTTGAAAACAGCAATAACTTTGCATTATTGCCTCATATGGTGCATTGAATGATAGATTCAGTAAAAAGCTGGATTATTTTAGAAGACAGGATGAATATTAGAATCAGTTTCTTTGGCTGCCTATATGGTCTACTAGTCACAGCTCTTTTATCAATGACTCCTTTTCATGGTTTAAGATGATATCTGGGTTTTATATTCTTTGTGAATTGTCTTACTGAACTATAAAAGGAAAAGGGGGGAACCCTTATTTCAGGCTCTTGTCATTATAGAAGAATGAATTGCACCAGCATTTGAGGAGGGGCGTTGCGCTAAATTGGTCTAAAGATAGTCCTATATATTATTGACTAATCGTTGTCTCAAGCCATGCTCATGCAGTTCATGTTTTTCCATTTATTTGATGAACTTATGTAGGTTTCCTGCCATTTGCAGGTTTGCTTGCTTGGATAATGCTTTCTTAGTGCCTCTGCTGTCTTAAAAGTGTGCATGTTCTTTTCCTGAAGTTGTTCTTGTCATGGATGTAGGCCAGCTGTAGCTTCTAGTACATTGGGTAACCAGGTCAGTTTATCAGGCGGTTGTACCAGCTCATCAGAACATCAGGTCCAATCCTTGGTTTCACCCCAGGTTGTTTCTCATAATCCTCAGGGTTTTGTGGGAGAACTTAATGGTGCTCAAGTCTCAAAAAGAATGAGGTCCCCGCCTTTGCCATTAGTCAAATCTAATGAAGTTTTGCAGGATAATAATACTGATGTTCAGCAAGATTTGACGAGGTAAATTACATGAATTTTTGTGATCCTACATGGTTATTATATGTAATGTACTTGCATAAGTTGTCAGAGTTCTAGATGTATCTTAGTTATGTTGAGTCATGACGCCAGTGAATTTGATCCTTAATCTAGGTTCCCTATAGCAGTATGGAGTCCTAAAGAATATTCACAGACCTATAAATTTCAAGGAAGCGTTTAATTATATATGCATCCAAAGATTTGAACAATAAATTTAAAATTATTTAAGGTGCTTTGATGAGGTTTGGTTATATGTTGGGGTGCTTTCAATTTTTATAGGTCTTCCATTGAAATGGACTTGTTTTTTGCCATGGTCGTTTGGGCTCAAAGAGGAAGCATGAGGACATTTTTTGAGTTAAAAAACTCCTTGGCAGATATGGTTTTAATGTGGCCACTATCTATCAATGAAGACTCTATTGGCCTCATTAAGAGTTACAGATGGATCATAAAGGCCCTGAAATGCTATGTAAATCAAGATAATGTGCAAGTGAGAACTTATACACAGGAACATTGTGGATACTTTACTAGAACTATTAAGCTTATGAGAGTTGGTGTTTAAGGGAAAATTAAAAAATGAGCTTTCTTGATTTGAAATACTTGCTAGCAAACACTATTATTTATATCTCACTTGCAAAGAATAAAACAGTATATACTCATAAATAAGCCTGTTCGGTGGTTTCCTTTGCAGATCTTTGTCTCCTCCTAAGTTGCGAAATGCGTCTAGTATTCTAAGGAGTGCCCCTGACGTTCAAGTCTATAAAAGGTCTTCACCACCTACTGCTGTTTCCGAAGCCCCATTAAACAGGTCCATTAGTTCCTCTACCCCTAAAAGAACAAGATCACCTCCTCGATTATCTTCAACTGATAAAACTCTTGAAGGAAAAATCATTTCCTCAAATGACAATTCTGAACGGTAATTTATTAGGTACGCTAGTGCCATTGTTTGTCAATTATGGAGGTTCCTAGTCTTCAAATTATGTCTTTATGCACTTCTTTCTTTGTTTTTTTTTTTAGTGAAATGTTAGCCAAGGCAAAGCGTTTAGCTCGGTTCAAGGTGGATCTAAGCAAATCTGAGCAGAATGATTCTAATATTGCAGACAGGAAGGCTTCTGCAAGTAGAAATGAACAGTCTCTGTTGGAGCAAAAATATGTCGACGGCCATTCTACACAATCAACGGTCAACTTTACCAATGGCCTTGCTTTTTCTGATTCTGACGGCCTTAAGACATCCAATATAATTATTGGCTTATGTCCAGATATGTGTCCTGGTATATTTTTCACGTTTTAAATATATGAGAAAATTTGTTTGAACTGTTATTTTTGGGTTCTATCTCATATTCCAAGTCTCTAAATGAAACAAATTTTGTGCAGTTAGATTCTTTTCTAAATTCATTGTCAGAAGGATCATATTGGAGAGAGTTCCTAGTTCATTTAGGTTTTGTAGAAATTTGAAGCCAATAAATGTATTATTTTTTGGGGAGAAGAAATAAATGTTTATTTTATTTTTTATTTGTTCATTTTTCAGAGTCAGAGAGGGCAGAGCGTGAAAGGAAAGGGGATCTTGATCAGTATGAACGCTTGGATGGGGATAGAAATGTAACCAGCAGAGTTCTTGCAGTTAAGAAGGTAATTATCATGTTACTGTTGTTTATTTGAAGCATTATTGCTCTTTTTTGAGAACTTGTTATAAAATATTCATTAATGAGGTGAAATATGGCAGTATAATAGGACAGCAGAGAGGGAAGCAAACTTGATTCGGCCAATGCCTGTTCTTCAGGAGACAATTGATTACCTGCTCAATTTGCTAGATCAGCGGTATGATGAAAGGTTTCTTGGCATGTACAACTTTCTGTGGGACCGGATGAGGGCAATTAGGATGGACCTGAGGATGCAGCACATTTTCAATCAAGGGGCTATTACTATGTTGGAACAAATGGTGCTTTCTTGTTTGAATAATATTAATGCCATTTTGTTACACACATGGCCATATTGATCTTTGGTTCTAGTGGCAATTAATTCATTTATTATATATTAGGTTGCAGTTTAAAGATCATGGATTCAATATCGATTAGACATACTGCTTAGTAGTAACGGAAGAATTCATTCGTATCTTGTAAAAAGGCCAATCAAATTATAGATGGATTTTGTGGGAGATGCTAGTTGTGGACAATGAAATTACTTGTTTATTATCAATCTAAGCTCTTTATTCTAAATTATGCTTATTTATGTTTGATTGCACTTCAAATTTGGTTCCTGATCCAGAGTTTGACTTTTATTTCCATCTTGGCTCTGTACAGTTTTTATGTTTCTGGGGTTTCATAGATTGTTCCTGAATCTCAATTTGTTGCACCAATTCTGGACCTTGTATTATTTTCTTCTAACATGTGAAAATCTTGTATTGGCCTGAAAAAGTGCAAATCTTGGTCTTTCTCTGAATTATGATAAAGTTTTTTGTTTTGATGCAGTCTTGCTTGGGGTGTTTATGCGTTTTTAGCATTTATTGAAATTTCTTTCCTTCTTGGATTTCAATAGCATCATTAAGATAACGTCTGCCACAAAAGGCATTCAATTATTGGAAATTCTGTTAGCTTTATCAAGAAAATGGATCTGCTAGGTGATATATGCAAAGCTGTATATCTGATTTTAAATATTAATGAAGCTGGTGATTGCTCTGATTTCAGATAAGATTACACATAATTGCAATGCATGAATTATGTGAATTCACAAAAGGGGAGGGCTTTTCCGAAGGATTTGATGCTCACCTCAACATTGAACAGATGAACAAAACCTCAGTAGAATTGTTTCAGATGTATGATGATCATAGAAAGAAGGGAATAAACGTGCCCACGGAAAAGGAGTTTCGAGGCTATTATGCTCTTCTTAAATTGGACAAGCATCCTGGTTATAAAGTAAGTGATCTATTTAGGAAATCATCTTTAAGATTTCATTTGTAATAATTAGATTGGTGAAAACACGCTTGTTCTCTAGGTTGAACCTGCAGAGCTCTCTCTTGACCTTGCCAAGATGACTCCTGAGACAAGGCAGACTCCTGAAGTTCTGTTTGCCCGCAAAGTAGCAAGGTTGTAATTTCCGCCAAAGTTAATTTTCTTGATCTTTCGCTGTTCCACTCTGATCATTCTCTTTCCCCCTCCTCCCTTTGCCTATGCAGAGCTTGCCGAACAGGTAATTTTATTGCCTTCTTTCGGCTTGCTAGAAAGGCAAGCTATCTTCAAGCCTGTCTAATGCATGCTCACTTTGCAAAGGTATGGATCATTGTTACTTTTAAATTTGTGTTTAATGAACTGCTCAATGTGTATTCACGGGGTTCCAAAAAAGAAAAAAACTATGAATTCATCCTTGTAAAGCCCAGGGGTAATATTTGTACACCGTGCATGCACTTACCAAACTTTAGTCAGTGGATGAATATGTACATGTGCTAATTGATTGAAGGCAAACTGGCGCATTTTCTTTTTCCAGGATGAATATGTTTTATTTGCTCCACAAAATCAATCACTTGATGCATGAAAAACAAACCATAATCAAGCAAAAAAAAAAAAATTGAAAGCATGAGATTCTCCCCAGTTAAGCTTATTGAATTCACTTTGTGCATTGTTTAAATTACCATGATTCAGTTGTATCTTATGGTAAATCACACTAATTTTTTCTATATGCTCTGTCATCTTTGCCAGTTACGTACCCAGGCACTTGCTTCTTTACATGCTGGTTTGCAAAATAACCAAGGCCTCCCTGTTTCACATGTTGCTAACTGGCTTGCTATGGAGGTACTTTTCTTGGTTTGACTTGGGCAAATGCTTTTACTCTTTTATTTCATCTTGTCTTGAGGAGGGTGGAAGGGTTTCTTAACATCCTCTTACACGTGGCTTTGTCATCAAACTTAGGATGAGGACATAGAAGGCCTGCTAGAATATCATGGATTCTTGGTCAAAGCATTTGAAGAACCATATATGGTGAAGGAAGGCCCATTTCTCAATATTGATAATGATTATCCCACCAAGTGTTCCAAACTTGTCCACAAGAAAAGGTCAAAAATGATAATAGAAGATGTTGCACCCTCAGATCAATTTGTATCACCACCTGTTGAGACTACAAATGAGATTCAGATACACAAGAAATACAAGAATGAGCAACAATCTGTCCAAGAAGTTAGCTCAGTTGAGAAGGTTGATGAAGAAATGCCCGACTCTGTAGCTATTTTGTCCCCAAAGGATGGTAGATCTGGATGGAAATTTAAGGAAATGCCAATTGCTTTTCAACGTAGTGAAACTGATCATAATGTTACTATGCCTTTTGCATCACCAATTGGCTTCTTTCATCATGGCATACCTGAACCACAACCAACCAGATCTGTACTTTCTAAGCGTATTAACTCAGATTCTATGTTTACAAGCTCTCCTAAGAGAAACTTGCATTCAGAGCTGGATGGAAGGCTCTTTGAGAGTATGCCAAAACCTTCTCCATCAGAAAGTTCGAAAGGATTTGATTTTCATATCCCTGTGGCTGATCCTTTGCCCCCAAGTGCATCTCAAGATGAGTCTCTACTTGTTGACCAAGTAAATGAAGATGAAATTGATCAAGCTGAAGAAATTGATGATCAAGATGAAGAAATTGCTGCAGCTAAGCTCAAGCTATTCTTAAGGTTTCCTAGCCTGGTTTTATTACCGTTTTTTTTTTTTTATTTTACTTAGCTTGCATTTGTTATTTTTATTACTTGTCTGAAGTCAATATGTTTTAGCAAAAGTATCATTCTTTTTTGTCTGCCCTGTCAGATTATGGAGGAGACGGGTATCAAAGTTGAGGATGTTACGTGAACAAAGGCAATTTGCGGCAAATGCTGCGCTGGACTCATTGTCACTGGGCCCACCAATTCAACATTACGTAGATGTAAGATTGCTGAGCGTGAATTTAATATCCAATTTCACTTTGCACTTTCTTTTTTCCTTAGCTGTAGGGTTAATGGGAGTTTCCTTGCGGGGATGATTATGCTTTAGTGACCTCTTTTCATAGCACTTCTTCCCGCCTCTTTATTTTTGGCCCAATTTGTGTTTGCGTATATGTATAACTTTTTCATAAATATCAAACCTATATCAATCCTTAACTTAGGATATGTATTGACTTCTCCATTATATTTTTTACCCTCTTTGTAGCAACCAATCAACCTTGACAAGTTTGACATTGATAAAGCCCTGAGAGAGAGATATGAAAAGCAGGAAAAATCATGGGCAAGACTTAATCTTTCAGAAATGGTTGGTGATGTCCTAAGCAGAAGAAACTCAGGTGTTAAATGTTTGTGCTGGAAAATTATTCTTTGTTCTCAGACGGATGGTGGACATAAAATGAGTGCAGCTGGGTCGTGGTTGATCTCAAAGCTCATGCCTTCCAGTGATGAGGATATGGTTATTTCATCTCCTGGTCTAACAATATGGAAGAAATGGGTTCCTGGTCAATGTGGAACTGATCCTACTTGCTGCTTCTCTGTAATTAGGGATACATCTTTTGGTGGTGCAGATGAAACCGTATCTGGGGCAAGTGCAGTTTTATTTCTTGTATCTGAGGGCATCCCATGGAAGTCTCAAAGAGTTCAACTCCATAATCTTCTCATGTCAATTCCTACTGGTGCTCACTTACCCCTCCTGATCTTATGTGGTTCATATGATAAAGGATATTCTCCTGTTATAATTAGTGAATTGGGCCTTCATGATATTGATAAATCCCGAATCAGTAGCTTTCTGCTTGTCTTCCTTATTGAGAATCAGCAGATGGAACACTTGGATGGATTTTTCAGTGACAGACGATTGAGAGAGGGGCTGGAGTGGCTGGCAGGAGAATCATCCTTGCAGCCAGCCCTACAGTATGTGAAAGTGCGAGAACTTGTTCACACCCACCTCAGTTCCTTGTTTAGGGTGCTGGATAGCACCGATAATTCAAGGTTGGGTCCTAATGACTGTATCTTAGTATTCAATGAAGCTTTAGATCGCTCATTACAGGATATTGTCGCTGCTGCCAATGAAAATCCTGCTGGTTGGCCATGTCCTGAGATTGGTGTACTTGACCAGTCTAGTGATGAGGATAGATTGCTGAAAAGTTACTTGCCACCATCAGGTTGGAGCTCACTTCCAAAACTGGAACAAATTATTAGAGCTTTCCAAGATTGTAAGCTTCCCCGGTTTCCTGATGATTTATCCTGGTTGGCCCTTGGTTCTAAATCTAAACACGAGATTGAGAATGACAAATTAAGGCTTGAAGGTAGCTTGATTCAGTACCTGACTGATATTAGTAAGATGATGGGAGTCCCATTGGCAACAAAAGAGGCACATGTCATGCTGCAATCATGTGCTAGACTCAAGCTTTGTGGCTCAAGCTACCATATAGTTCCCCAGTGGACCATGATCTTTTATCGAATCTTCAATTGGCGATTAATGAGTTTATCCAGTGGCGAGGTCTCTTTTGCTTACATCTCAGAACGGACTCGCGTTTCTCTTCCAAGTTCAGATCTGGATGTGAACTTTGAAGCAAATTTACCTTCATATTATCACTGTGCATCTTTGGATGAGATAATTGAAATTGGTTGTGACTCTCCTATCCACACCAAGAGTCAACCAAGGCTACTTCAACTTCCACAGAAGGACACAGATAATGTGATGAATGAAAATGTTAGTCCAGGTGTTTTGATGGAGTCTGTAAGAAACTCTACCGTAGATTATCTGCCTAGCGTCAATAACACAGTTTTCTCACATGGATTAGACAATGCTAGAGGTGTAGTTCTGACAAATGGCAAAGCAAACAGAGAAGCTCACAAGTTAAGCAGACTATTGGAGCAATGCAATTTGCTGCAGAATGTCATAGATGAGAAGCTGTCTCTGTACTTCTGATCTGCTTAATGATTTTATTATGCTTGTATTGTATATTACTCTCAACCAATATATGGAGAAAATTGTATCTTGAGATGAAAAAGGGGAGAGGGTGAGAATATATGCTAACCCAAAGCGTGTTTTTTAGGCAATTTTGTACAGCAAATGAGAATGTCTTGTGTGTTGTTTATCTACCTTCCTGTTTGTCTCATGTACAAAATGCAAGTTCATACAAATGATCCTCTTTTTCTTGATTACCATGAACCTAAATTGAGATTAAAGCGTGCTGCTACTGAAAAAAGTATTCAGTGAGAGTCGTTATTAAATTATATTTGCAATTCATTTAATGCTTTGAGATCCTAATAACTAATTCCATATAAATTGTTGGCAACTGACCTATATATTGATATCCAATTTCTATGCTTATCTGGCTTTTATTTATTTTTTATTTACAAATTTTTTTCCCGTATTTTGCATTTACATTCTATTCCTATAAATTATAGCATGCTTTGTTAACGAAATCCAAAATAAGCTACAGTATTTACAAGTTGCAAAAAGTGGAGCTTTTTATAATGTTTTAGATATATTGACTTATTTACTACGGCGTTTCAGTTCCACACGGATTAATTAAAAAGGGTTTAAATTTAGATGATTAGCTTCTTGATTACGCAACTCGTTCCAATTTTATTCCAAGATTTTTTTTCAATCCCATTTGACAAGTTAAGAGACTTTATTTATTGCCACCACTCAACCATTCAATGTTTTGGTCCGTTAGAAGTTACTACAAGGCGTGAAGAATCAAGTAGAGAGATTAGGAAAATATCCAACAAGTCTTCGATTCAAAACTTGATTCCTTCCCTTCACCAGCCCAAGAAAAAAATAACAATCTGGCATTAAGTACATCGATTTTGATCTTGCAATGCAATTAAAATAGCAGATATTTTTCTGATTCATACACCGGACCCCACATCTGCATGTGAGAGAACGATGATATTGCTTTGGATGCTGAGAAGCAGATTTGCCGACCCAGTTTGCCATCTTGTGAGTTTCTGACTTTCTTCAGAGTTTGTAGGAACTTGCCAATGCTAGTCACCAACCAATGTGTTGCACAAGTTCCTTTTTTCCCAGAAAATTTCTAAACTATTTCTACATTGTTTGTCATCAAGTTTTCCAATGAAAACATAGCAAGTAAATTTTATTACAGCTCAGCATCATCACATGAATCATTCTTTTTTTTTTTTTTCAAAAGAAGACTTGGTTTGATATTTTCATTGCAGAGCTTGATATGCAACATTTCAAATACTTAACCTTGGTCTGACCCTTGTTCATTATCCCAAATCCCATTTAGATTTCCTTCTGATGTCAAAATCTGTAGGGGCAAAGAGCCACCCTGGAAACAGGCTTTGTGTGCTTCTGATGTGGCTCAGTAATCTGAATTAGAAGAAGAATATTGACCATTGACCAGTTCAGTTTTCTAAATCCCAATGTGGGAAATCTTCCGCAGCCTGAGACATGCTCATCAAAACAGGAACCTTCAGCTTCCTAACAGAAAATAAGGTTATGATTATTTTTACTTTGGTAAAAGGCAATAAATATATTGAATTAACACTGAAGCTTACAAAAGGGAGGCCATTCATGTAAACTTTTTGGAGATGAATGGCCCACATTAGAAGTAGAAATCAAAATATTAAGCAAGTAGAAATAATCCAGTGCAAGACCTTCCCGGTGGCAGCTGTGTGATACCCACATTCATGCCAATGGAAGAATCAAGCCACCATTTGAAACTTACAACATGACTCATGTAGTGCCCAGTAAATATAATACAAAGGACTAAAACAGAATGAAGAAGAAACCTACCACTTGGGAGAAATTACAACAAAACTTGATGAAGCTTCCATAAAGCCTCTCTTCAATCACTGTAAATGGAAAATTAAGGAATTATTGTTGGGGAGATTATAATCAACTATCCCTAAGTCACGTATTAAACTGATTAAGTTTTGAATTGAAATCGTCACACTGACACCTGCCAAATGGGTTATCAGAAGACAATTAAAAAAAAAAAAAGAAATAATAATAACAGAGGAGAGAAAAAGCACCAACCTAGTCAACTGGTCTTTGACATGATGGAGATGGGACAATAATAGCTGGGCTTCTCATTGAGACTACGTTCTGACCAGATTGTTGATCAGAGAGCTCACTCCTCACAGAACAATAAACATCTGATGAAGTGGTAGCAGATATTTCAGAAGTTCCTCTCCTTGCCCGCATTGCAGTATTAACACTAATATTATCTAGTCCAACTCCAGATGTACCTCCCTAAATGATCAAAACAAATGTTAGATAATCGGGTCAACAAAGATCCCATGAAATGAAAAAAATTAAACCTCCCATTGCAAGCTTTTGGGTTTTGCATATTTTCACTCATGAAGGAAAAAGTCTTAGATACAAAAATATCATTGCACATTGCCATACTTTTACATATTATTTGTAATTTCTTGCAGCAGGTACAGATTCCAATATGGCAGTCACTATCAAACAAAATTGGCCACATCATCATTCATACATCTATCAATCATCAATAAATGATACGTGCATAAAAATCATCATACCAACAAAAGACCAGCAGACAAGAACTGCCCACGAGAATGTTCACAATAAATGTAATTTTCTTACCACCTAATTTTTCTTAGGTGGTTAAAAATATTAATGGGCATTCAAGACTCATTTAACATCTTCATAAAAACCTATAAGTAAAAATAAAAACATTAAAATCAAAAGAGGCCCATAAATTGTTCAAGTAATCCATACATTAGATAGGCCTTTGATCTGAACAATGATGATTGTTATATCATCTGTTCGGTTTTCATGATCCAACCATAGTTTATATGCCTCTCCAGCAATGGCAGCACATGCTTCACCAGGATCTGTATAGCTTGCTGCCTACATTATTGGAGTATCAGAATTTATCAAGAGAAATTATAAAGGATGTTACGACACACTTAGTATTTCAACGATGAACTTTATGTCATGGCTACAGGCCAGGTTCCACTCATCAGTTAAGCACAATTTGAATTAACAGTATTAAATAAACACAATAAAAATATTATATAAGCTTTACTGGCATAAACATGGTCTAAAGAAAAGCACACTTCTTTGGCTAGACACTTCAGGAGGTGCTTGTGTAGATGAGAATAATTCTGTCAAAAAATATTATTACACATCTGACACCCAAGTGTCATGCATTTTCGCAGGCACTTGATAAAATAAATAACCTAAAATCAGCTTAGAGGAGAATTATTCATGCTTATGATATATTAAGGTAAAAGCCAAAACCACTAATAAGTGCTTATTGGAGCGTACAAGCTCTGATAACCTGCTAATAAGTCCATCCGAATGTAGGCTTTGTAGCAAATCCAGTGGTAAAAATGGGGGAAGAAATGGTCGTGCACAGAATATTTTTGAAAAGAAAAGGTTCAAAATGGAATATGCACCACTAGTGACGCTGAACGAGAAACCTAAAAAGTGGCCCAAAACAATTAATTTGGGAAGATATATACAGCAATTACATTTGCAATTCTCCTGGAGCAGGCAGTAGTTCTTAAAGATAGGCAAGTAAAAATAATTTGTTGTACCATTGAACCATATAAGCAAAACAGCATTCAGATAACAGATTATGAATCAAGGTTTTCAATTAACAAATGTCACAAGATTTCCCCAGAAAGTAGATGACTGGACAAGTTAAATTCAACTATTCAACTAATCAAAATTGGTCAACCAGTGAAAATACTATCTTGACACAAATACTTGGTAACCTGAAAATATTGAAAGGACCACAAAAAGAACTAATGCAGAAAATAAATCGCATGTAGTACCATGTTAACAACAGTTTGGCTTGATAGGAACTCAAATATGCCATCACTTGCCACAATAAAGAAAAGATGATTAGGTGTAAGCGGAACGACCGACACTTCAGGAGTGGCGATGACACCAATCGTCTCTGCCAAACTATCCCCTAAACTCCTTGTAAATGCAGTTCCAGGATACATCCCATTTGGAACCCACAACCTTGGAGGATCACTTCCCTGACTCTCTTCATCACCCCATGTTTGGACATCCGGATCCTTAAGCCCTTCCACCTGATCAACGCTTAACACCCTTGCACCACAAAGTTTCACTCTCTCATATTCATCTCTCCTAAACGGAGTCTGATCAGACGATAAGTCCTGAGCAACGATACAATTCCCATCCTTTACTGCCAGCACTGCTCTGGAATCACCAACATTAGCAACATAAAGTGTGTCTCCGACAACAAGCACCGTAATTGCAGTAGTGCCGCTCATAGAATCATCAATCTCACTGTTGTGTAATTGGTAATTTGTTGCCAAGAATGCTGAATTATAAGCTTTAACGGGGTCCTCCGACAATGCAGGGTCGTTTGATAACGTTTCTATCAACCTATCCCTAACAAAATTCGAACATTGGCTACCACATTGACCATGCCCATCATAGACACCGAAAAAATGAATGTTTGGGTTACCTTGAACCTGCGTCCTAATACAGAAAGTGTCTTGGTTTTCTTTATCAGGTGAATCAGGGTAGTATCCTCGCTGTGTGAGAAACGAGTATTCCAAAACGTAGTTGTGGGAAGGAACAGGAGCAAACTTCAATGAACTCTGAGTAAGTTTGTGTTTCCTTTGGCGACGGCGCGGCCCAAGTCCTCGGCAGCTGACAGCACCACCACACTCCGGCGAAGAAATGTAGCCGCGACAACACTTGCAATAGACACAACCCATGTTTCAAAGATAAGCTCGAACGAGACCAGTAATCCCCCACCTAAGGCTTACAACATTGGTGGCTCGTACATACATAAGCAATCCTGGGCGAGAAGAACAGGGCAGGCGTTTCTGAAACTCAGCATTCTTAGAAACATGAACAAACCCTAGACCCTAAATTCAGGAAAAAATTCCGATCGTGAGAAGGAAGTTATGCTATGGCAACAGATTGAGATAAACAAGGAATTGTTTGAAAAACTACGGAGAAAGCAAACACCAGACGAAGCTAATCACTCAAGGATCAGAAAACCCTAAAGTGACCCCCACCAATCCAGAAAAGAAAAGGACCTTTCGCATTAAGAAAGGTGAAGGTGGGGCAATCCAAAAAGCAGAAAAAGAGGAACCGTACTTTTGCGTGGAGGCAGAGACAAACAAGAGTCGGGAAGAGAGGGAATCAAAGGAAGATGAGATTTTTTTTGCTAAAAGAGAAGGATAGAGAGAGAGATTGAGCGTGAGCATGCGCATGGACGGGTGGGTTTGTCTCAGAAGGAAGAGATGACAAACCACGGGCCAAGGAAACACCCACCCCCAAAAAACAAAAACTTGCAACGCAGAGCAGTGGGCAAAGGGAAGGGAAAGGTATACAGAGCAAATCAGCGAATGGAAAAAGTCATTTTGTTTTTTTCTTCCGAAAAGACCAGAAAAAGACAAGCACAATTTTCAAATGTAAGGCGACAAAGTAATTAATTAATTGGTGATCCACTAATAATAGCAATCAGGTTTGCTTGGAGCATTTTAATGGCATCTCGTGGCCAAATATTCTTGTTGGGTTTTACACTGTGGACCGACCTTGCAAAATTGCAAGGGGAAGTTGACATAAAATCTCTCGTGGAAAATTATTTAGAGGAATCAAGACTAATTTAAGAACTAAAGGCATATTAGACATATCATTTTGAATGCCGAGATTATCATCTTGCACTCCAAACTTATCATCTTGTACTCCTAACCTATCATCTTATATTTCAAGATTGTCATCTTCATCTTACATACTAAACCTATCACTTGAAACTCCAAGCTAATAATTTTGCACTTCAGGTGTATTACTCTGCATATCAAGCCTATGAAGTTACATGTTAACTTTCAAAAATAACATGTAATTTACATGCTTATTGTTTAAACAATCCATTGTTAATGTTATTATTTTTTCACAAACCATCATCGTTTTCAAGATAATAAATTGTATTTTCATGAAATTTTCATGTTTATAGTGTGCAAAGTAATAAGTTTAGTGTACAAGGTGATAGGCTCATTGTGTAAGGTCGTATTTCCTTGAGGTGCAAAGTGATAGATTTGGTGTGTAATATGATAGGCCTAGCGTGCATTTGATTCTTAAATTGGTCTTGATGCCTCAAAACAATTTCTCTTTCAAGAAAGGATTTTATGGCAATTTTTCCAAATTACAATATAGGCAAATAGGCTAATCTAATGCTCCTTCCGTCTCAGATTATAAAATATTCTTAAAAGAGATTAGGCATTACAAAATATAAAATATTTTGATAAAAATAAAGTTTCAATAATTATACTTTTTAATAGTGCCCTTCTTATTATATTATCTTTTTAATATTATTTCATAAATAAAATATCAAATGAAGGGTATTTTTAGAGGCTTACAATTTTTCTTTGAAAAAATAAGGGTATAAAACCTATTTAATAAACTTTATTAGTATGTATGATTTTATCTAAAAATATCTTATAAATTGTGATAGAGAAAGTAACATATAATTTTTTTAAAAAAAATAAAAAATTGCAAGTTCAATCCTGTTTATAATTTTATGTCATTAGTCTTAGATTTTTTAAATTGAAAATTGAAACAGTAGCATGCACACAAGTGCCTTTTTTTTCCTTACAAGTTTTTATTTACAAGTCTTGGACATTATAGACTAATCCTTCTCATAATAATAATAAAGTTGCGTCGTATGCATCTACTTGCAATTTTTATAAATATATTCATGACTTTAATATTGATATATTGATACTGAACACCCTCATGACTTTACCACTCTTAATGACTAGTAGGATATGAAAAAAAAAAAAAAAAAAAGACATCTACGTTGATGTAACTCATCAAATTGTAAGAGTTAATACTAACAACAACTTAGCCTAGTAAAAATATATTTGAATTTTTATTAAAAAATTATTCATATTTAATATTCAATCAAATCAAATCTCGTATCAGATTATTAAAATTAAAAAGAGACGTGTAGTAATTTAAAAAAAAAAAAAAAGCACAAGAGGCAGTCCTCGTCAAGGGAGTTGTGAAATTGATTTGATGTTATGTAATGGCCATCATGTGAGAAGATACGATGAAATGCATCAAAAGTGAAGGGCACTAGGAAGTTAGTGCTACATGGAAGAGGCTGTTCACATCACTCACCACGTGGCTCTATTAGAGAGATTTAAGATTACGTCACTCTGAGAGCAACTAATTTTAATTAAGACGTTAATGATTAAACTGGCTAGCTCGTCTTGTTCACTGGAAAAACCATTATGATCAATAAACCTCCACTCCATTAAGATGTACTCATGGTCAAACGCTTGATGAGCAAGTTTGTCGTACATACTTTTATTTTTTAATATTTTAATTTTTTTAAAATTTTTATAATTTATTATTAAAAAATAAAAGTGTAGAGATTAAAAATATTAAAAAAATACAGAAATGTATAGTAAAGTATATAAGTCAAAAGTTATGTTTTTTAAAAGAATACTTGCATACATGTATTTTTTTTTTTTTATTGAGGTCAGACAAAATTGTAAGGTGCAACGAGGCCGACATTTTTGTGTTAAAGAGATGGAGTCAACGGACATTGTGGGACAGAAGGAAGCCCACAAAGGCCCAAATCCCATTCACAATGTGAGCCCGTTTCACCTTCAAGGAAATCACTTCACAAAGCCCAATTACTTTTCTTCCCAAAATTTGTTTTTGATTTTTCTTTTCTTTTCTTTTCTTTTTCTTTTTTGACCTGAAATTCATCTGTATATTTCATTCATGCTATGATACTAAGGTAAAACCAACAATACAACAATAGCGTTCAGAAGGTGGAAAAAGTCAAAAAACCCTTCAGAAAAATAACGGCTCGGTTGTTTTTTATTTTTAAAAATAGAAAAATTTAAAGACCTGGTAAAATATTTTCGATTTAATTATTTTTAAAATTATTTTTAGTTATATTTTAAAAATAGAAAATAGAAAAAAATTTAAAATATTTTCATTTTATTTTTCTTATTTTAAAATACACTAAATTTGATTATTAAAAATATAATTATCTTAATCAATTTCTATTATAAATCACCACCATCAACTATCTATAACTATCACTATCAATCTATTTTTTAATTTTAAAATTATTTTTAAATTAATATAAGCAAATGCATTTTCATTTTTTTGTTTTAAAAATAGTTTTAAAAATTGTACTACAAAATAATTTTTAAAAACAAAAAATGAAAATAAAAACCAAACATGTCCTAAGGGTTTGCTTGGTTTCTGTTCCCATTTTTTATTTCTAAAAACTGTTTTGTAACATAATTTTTAAAATTGTTACTCTCCCCACATTCAGATGATAAAATTTCAATTATGGCATCGCATATGATAATTTATAGATTCACCTTTTAAATTGTTTTATAATTTGATATGAAGAGAGTATTAACCTTGGTAGTGACGGTTTTGAGAGGAGGCAGCAAGGGTGCAAGCCGCAATGTTACATATTTGTTTATAAATTTTGTTTATTTTTATTTAAAAAAGAATGATAAAACCAATTTTGGCCCATTCATGGATTATCTCTTGTTGACAATTAGACGTAGCCTCTCTTGTTGACAGCATAAAAACCTACCATAAAAAAAAAAAAGAAAAAAACTCATTTAATCCTATTTATAAAGTAAAGAGAAAAAATTTATTTTAATCTTATTTATAGAGCACCTTCATGATTATTATACCTATCTTTACTCTTTTATCCTTATTCAATGTTAGAGAGATTATTAAATACTAGAGTATTTTATCTTTAGAGTAGGTATTTAATAGAAATAAAGTTAAAAATTTATTAAATTTTAAAATAGAGTTAATAAAATTTAAGGTTTTTTTTTAGTTTCCGTGACAATGTTAGGAGTGATTTATGAATAAGATCAGAGGGAGTAGGGGATGCTAAACTGACCAACAACATTCAGCAATTTCTATACCTCCATGGCGACTGGAAAGTCATCAGCAAACTCTAGGGGGAACCAAAGATCTGCCTGTTTCTTTGTAAATGATGCCTTCCCTGCCTGCGCAGAATTGGAAAGGTAAGTAATTAACGTCCACGAGAATAATCTATTGAACCAGAGATAATAATTCGACTAAACAATATCCTTAATCATAATGCCATATTTAAAGTCCTTGACTAGTAGTCTAAATATGAGTCTGTGACCAAAAAATCACAAAAACGATGCCCATTTTCAACATAATAGCGTTCATTGGTGTAGAGAATATTCTTGGAAGATTTGTCTGGAGCCAATTGAAAATACGAGATTAGGAAACGTGTGCAACAACTAATCTGAAATCCCTGCATGAAAAGAAATTTAAAAGACAAAATCCACAAGCATGAACGCAGAACAGATGTGTTTTAGCCGATAATCACAAGTCTCGACATTGAATAAATGAATTTAATTAAGGTCAAATTAAACACCTGGCGTCTGTATAATTTGGAGAGTAAGACGCATATGAATTAATTCCAGTACAGTAATCAAAGAAAAACTAGGGTCCTATTTGGTTATTAGAAAGAAATAAAATTAAAAAAATTAAAAAAATTAATACAAAAATAAACTAAATCATCATTTCCCAACATGGTAAACCTGATAAAATTTATCAATATATATTACAAATATGAGAATTATCACACCTTTCAAAAATCTCATGAATCATATGATTCTCAATCCTATGAATTAAATTACTTCTCTCCCTTATGAGTTTTTACCTTTATTTTTTCAATCCATTTCATTTCATTTCTTTCTACTAACCAAATGAGATTTAAATTGACATATAGTTTATATTGAGATAAGAGATGGATGAAGAGGATTTATGACTTATTTTGTGAACACCATCACTGAAAGTAATTTAAATTAATGATGATTTGTGCTTTTAAAATGTATTTTTGAATATGCAATGACCAAAAAAAATAGTAATTATAATAATTTATAATTTTTATTGTATAAATATAATAAATTAAAAATATTTAAAAAAATGTGAAAAAAATTTAAAATAACAAAAAGTTTAAGATGTTCAATAATAAGAATAAGAAATATATAGTTTAATATTTAAAAAATTATGCAATAAATAGTTTAGCATTTATTAATATTGAACAGTTACATAATTAATGATTCAATCTATAATGTACAATCTGATCTTTAATAAATCACGAACTCTATTTACCTCTCTATCAGAAATCACGCTTAAAATTACACTTGAAATTGATGATAAAAATGCATGTTCGTCATTGTCATCATTAGTGTTAATAATATTTTTATTCTCAAAGCACCTGAAGTCATAATCAATTGCAAATTTTCTTCTAATAAAATTATGTATAACTATTGTTGCACAAACTATACGAATTTGCATCATAAATGAAAAATTAGGCATGTGTTATAAGATTGTGAATATATTTTTGTTTGCACAAACCTCGAAAGTCTTTTCAATCGTGATCATTAAATTTGAATGATAATCATTAAAAACCTTATTATTGTTTGAAAATCCGAAGAACGCATGAAATCTAAAAGGTGATACTTATGAGATCTACGAGAATTTAAATATTTACATGGCGTTGGATAGTCAGCATCCACCAAATAATATTTACCTGCCAACAAAAAATAAAAATTATAGAAAATAATTAAATATTAAAACAAATTATTTTAAATTAGATAAATTTATGAAATATAGTTTGGGATAGATGTGGAAAATTCATGTCCAGCCTTGTGAGTGTATAGTCAACTATGCAAGCATCATGTGTAGTCTCTTCCCAAGAGTAACAATTGAATAGCAAAGAAAGATTAATTTTCTAAAAGGGTATAAGAGATCTATCAAAGTGTCAAACTGCCAATGTTCTTAATCATCATAACCTAAGTTTCACCAAGAAATATTATGTACATCCTTATCAGTTTTCGCTCAATTACTATTACTAATTAATCGTTAATTACTTCTAAATTAACTAGATTACACTTTGTCCTCCCTCATTTTTCTAAAAGAAACATGGTAATTATTTTCAATGGACACCTGCACTGATAATAAAGAAAATGATTGACAGTTACTTCATAGATACATATAATATAATTAATTTGTGTTATTCCGCAAAAAAAAATTAATAAAATTGGGTTTTGGGGTTTACTTCATACATATAATATGTTGTTGTAACACGTTGCGATTTATTTTAATAAAAAAAAACAGAAAACCTTAATTTATAGACCATTCTGGCAAGTTATAGACTTCCTTGCGTGTGTGTGTGAAATTAATTGACCTCTAATACCATTCCTACTACCTGTTGTGTGTTTGAACCTTCTCAGCCAAGAAAAGCCTAATGCAGAATGACTAACAACACAAGTCAATCAAGGAAGATTGCATTAATCAGAAAGTCGTGAGTGATATACATATATATATATATATATATTTTAGTGAAAGGAAAATTGCATTAATCAAAAAGCTGTACAACCAGTCACGTTACAAGTTATAGGAGTCGCAAAAATAAACTGAGGGCTCTACATATAAATGCTAAGGCTGTGATAATTCCTAATAGTGTGTTAATTAACTATAGACATAACATGCACTAAAAGTTGTTTCTCATGAATGGTGTCAGCTGCAAAACTTCTTTAGCTCCGAGCTTCCCAAATTTTTCAAGATAGAATACTTATACCTACTTTCCAAGATAGAACACACTGTAAGGCTGTTACTAGGATTAAACAACATTTTGAAACACATTCACTTCAAATTCAGAACAAAATAAAAAGAAAGCACAGTGCAGAATGGTCCATCGGGAAACAAAAATAAGGAAGTCACCTGGTTCATCAGAACAGCAGAACGAAAAAGGCACAAAATTTGAGAGCAGAACTAGCATGATGTACCTGATTCGCGAGCTCGATGAGCAGAATGAGCTCGATGTACTGACAGACTGGATGAACTAGATGCACGAAGTGATTTTTCCTTCTCTAAGTTCAGAAATGTTTTCACAACACACGATAGGGGAAATCCGATGAGGAGGGACTGTCTGAAGTTATGTGCAAACTGAAGGGTATCATGGTTATTTAAAAAACTAGGTACACAATTATTCTCCTCGTAATTGCTCCCAACTCTCATTTGAAATCTATCAAAAAAATAAAGTTTTAAAATCCACATTTCAAACTCATTTCAACCCACTTTTTAAAAGTCATTTTACTCCTTCAAAAATTACTCAAATAACTTCTAACATTTCAAAAGTTTAAAAGTTGATTTCAAATATGGAATGTGTGAAAACCATATGCACTCTTGAGACTAGAAGTAGAACACATGAATTCCACCAATAAAGATTGGTCCAATTAAAAAGAATTTAACAGGTCATAAGATCAAGTCCTACTATATCAACATAGAGATTTTGTTGGTAGGCCATCTATAAATATTTTTATAAGCATTATTTCACATGTCTTGGCCTCGAGTCCCCACTTAAACTTTATTTAATAAACAAAAATAAGAAGACATGAATCCCAAAATTAAACCATGCATGTGCCGTGAAAAGACGAAAGGAAAAGAACCCCCAAACAAGGGACAGCCAGCTATGAACGAATGAGAGATGACGCCAACCTGAACAGAACCCACGGCAGAATCCATGAACAGTGATGGCGGCGATTACAGAGATGACGAAAACCATAAAAGCTTGCTTGCATACACCAGAAGAGAGAAAAGGACGTGGTCAAGCGCAGAGCCTTTCAGCGATCGATGTGAGAGAGAGAGAGAGAGAGGCACGCTGTGGAAATGCCCCAACACAATGATCTAACCTAATCTCAAAAGCCATAATTTTCAGCTTTCATTCTAACGTAGCTTTTGAGCAAAAGCTCTTCCAAAATTTTTGTTATCCAAACTTCAGTTATAGAGTCTTATCCAAACATCTCTACTAAATCAACTTCTCACAACAAATATATATATATATATATATAACTCTATAGCCTAATTCATTTCAAGGTTTTCACGTTCAACTTCATTATTTCATCATATATTTACAACACAATCCGCCCAATAAACTACAGTTAGTAATATAATAAAGAGCAAAAAAGAAAAAAGTCAAAAGGAATCCCTCATGCCCAAAAACAAAAGGGCAAAAACCTTACAGATTAAAAAGAAAACGGATTTACAACTTCTCTCTGTGCCTACAAATTTACACATTGCTGGATATATATATATATATATATATATGTATACATGTATGTATGTATAGGAGGAGGTCGTGTTTGCGTGTGTGAACGTAGATCATCCTTCTCAGTTCTCACTAGCCTTCTTTCATCGAAAAAGCCTACTCATCAGCATATATCCTTTTCTCCTCTTATCAACAATGTCCTTTCACTTACAAAACTGCCCCTCCCAGCCAACACAAACACAAACAAGCATGCGCGTGTCTGTGTCTGTATATATACATACATGCACTGGCCAAAACTCAACCTTCTAAAAATTAAATCCTGACTGTTACATATATATACCCATAAGGACAAGATATTTGTTCGTTGCTGCATCGATCTTAATCTGCATCGTTCATTGATTCGTTATTCTTCGAGAAAGTGTCTTGACGACCTGTACAGATCGTAAGGGGCCCAAAGGTGGTCGACAATGCATGGCTTTCTTGAATCCAGTCTGAGCCATGGCTTGCCCTTTCCACTCCAATGCAACAAACTGATCGGACCAGGGTGCAAGCTCCTACACTTACCTTCAAAATTGTCACCGCCCAGTCCATGCTGATTCCACCGGTGATCCACCGCCTTGATGTTTCCAGCCAACACCAGCAGAAACGGCGGCAGCGAACCTAAGTTATATATCTTCTTCTGCTTCTGAACTCTCATCCATTCCTCCACTTTCTGTGTGAACCCTTCTTTCCTCCATTTGTCTACGTCCATCACCATCACACCAGTGTTGAAATAACACGCGTTTCTACCCTCAAACGTCTTGGTTAGCTTAGGATCTGACCAGAAGCTCGTCGTGAAATACACCGTGAAGTTCGCTCTGCAATATTCCGGTGCGGCCACCACCTTCCCTTCCATGTCTACGCCCCAGAGCTTGGCTATATCGTCGACAACGATGAGGTCAGAGTCCAAGTATATGACGCGTCTGACTTGTTTTGGTAAAGCGTCAGCGAGGTAGATTCTTGCGTAGTTTAATGGCTGGTCTAAGGCGAGCCGGATCGACTTAGAAATTTTTCCCTGAACCCGGGTCGAATCGAACCGGAAGATGTTGAAGGTGAGGTAAGGGAAGGTGGATTTGATACTGTTGTAGAGCTCAGGGTTGTCGTGAGCAGAAAGGAAGTAGAAGGAGAGGTTTTCAGGACACGTGGAGTGTTGCAGCATGGATTGCACGGCGGCCATCGTGCCTCGGAGGTAGTTTTCGTCGAGGGTCATGGCCACGTGGATGCGGTCGGCGTCGGAGGACCCGCATTCGCCGCCGTTGCGGAAGGCAGGGGCTTCCCGGAAGGGAGGGAGGTCCGACGACGAGGGATGGTGGCGGACGCCAATTCGTATAGCAGCGGCGGTGGTGATGGGGCGGAGGAGGATGAGGGACAGGAGGCCAAGGAGAAGAGGAACAAAGGCCATCCTGTCTCCCAAGAGATTTTTTTTGTTTTTTTGGGGTTCCTCTCTCTGGATCTTTTTTTGTCGTGTTTCTGTTTCTTTTTAACGTTGTTGTTGGTGGCGTTTTGTTGGCTCCAACGGAGGAAGTAAGGTTTTGGAAATTTAAGAAAGAATATAAATGGTTTGGAATGAGAGATGGAGCTTGATGGAGATCTGATGATAGAGATCAAAAGAATATCGCAGAGGTTTGGGAGTAAGAAAGTTGATGGAAGGGAGAAATTATCGGAATATGCTTGGACTAGGAATGGACTAATTTTGGTCGGAGCGGGTGAGAAAGAGAGTCAAACAATTTAGATTTTTTTTCTCCCTTTATTGATGTTTCCTTGATTTATTTCACTAATAATAATAATAACAATAATAGTAATTTGATTTTGTTTATTGTAGAGAATTAAAATGCCACATAAAATAAAATCAATAATCATATAAAATAAAATATGACAGGCTAAAGTGTATGTTTTATCATTTAACTTTATATAATGTTTAGTTGGATCTATTAATTTTATGGAGTATTATTTTAACCCTCTAATTCCAGCTTCGTTCATTAGCTTTAAATAATTGTTTTTTATGTCAATAATTATTTTTTAAAAAATTAAATTTAATATGGCAACATTTGAAAATATGTTTAATTGTCAAAATTTAAATATTCAATGAATTAATTTTTTTGTTAATAAAATTAATGGTGTTAGAGATTTAAATAAAACTTTATATAAAGTTATATGATTAAATATATGCTTTAACTACTATAATAATATACACAAGGAGGTGTGATTATATATACTTTTGATCTTTATCATAACACATTAAGACATTTTGTAGAAAAGATATGTGGCTCTTATCATAAGTCATAAAGTAATATTAATTATTAAGTTTTTTCCTACATTAACCCCATTTAAAGTTATTAATTATGAAGGATTATATATGTAATGAAAATTTAAAAATTTTTCATTCAATTGTAATTAAAATCATAAATTTATTTTATTTTTAGATAGTTAATACTTAACAATCTCTCATTAGTCTTGGTGGAATAAGTAAAAATGTTTTTAAAATAAATACAAGAAAGAAAAAAAATACATATATGTGTGTGTATCACACTCAATTTAACTTGATATGCTTTCCAAGCATAGAATGATTAGCCTTCTTAACTAAGTGAAATAACATATGAAAAATTATTTTGAAATCCCCACAATTCAAAACACCATAAGGTCCATTGAGTTGTTAATTGATCTTGTAATGTTTAAATATACTAAACATTACTGTGTGGGATTATATATATATATATATATATATATCACGATGGTCAAAGCAACCGTTCAAGGCCAGGAGGCATTTAACGGGCAACAATGTAATGAAGTTGGAGCAAATGCTATATAATTCTACTGATTGATAGAAGGAATTGGCGCTGTCCTCCTTTTAGAATCTACCCAAATTTGTCGATATTATATATAGATAGGGCATAAGTCTTTTTTTTTTTTAAAAAAAACAAGATATATCATCACTAGAAAGTAAATATTATACCAAAAAAAAAACACCAAGACAACAAAAAAACCCAGAGATCTCTTGCAAAAACAATCTTATTTAAATATACTTTTACAAAATGATTATATTGAATATCATAACAAGCATTTAAACATTAATGATAATTTGCTATCTACGCCTCATAATGCCCTCGATTAATATATATTATTTAAATATATGGTTTAATGAAAAAATTAATAATATCATAGGCAGGTTCATCAATATAGCCAATATTACATCATAAAACTTCTGATAAAAAAATACTACGTCATAAAACTTTGTATTTAAACTATCTAAAGTTAAGATTGATGAATTTATGTAATTTTTTTTCAAATTGTCGCTCATTTTATTATTTTTAGCAACACACAAAATCTTCAATTTTTTCTTAAAAAAGAAAAATTTCATGAAATTCCGATTCTTAATTTCAAAAGATTTAAATTATACTCCTTCCGTTCAAAAATATAAGATATTTTTAATAGAATTTCACCCCCAATAAAGTAGTTACTTACTTTTAAACTAACTATATCTTTCTATATTCATTCTTATTAAATATCTTATAATCAATATAAAACCATTCATCAATAGGGGTATTTTTGAAAAAAATAATTATACTTTAAAAGACTAAAAATATCTTACATTTTTTAACAGAGGGAATAAAAATTATATATCCTTTTAGTAATTTAATTATCTAGAAGCACTTTGATTAAAATAATTCTTTTTTTTACCAACAATTAAAATAATTTAAATACCTTCATTTCATCAAAATCACTTTTCAAATAACAACATCCAAACACAATGACGTTACAACTTCATTTTAGTTAAGTTTTTCTTATTGTGCATAAGTATTTTTCTATTATAAGCAATTATGTTTTGTCAATTGTCATTGGTAGTTAAGTCTTTTTTTTATTACTCACAAGTATATTTTTATTGGAAACAATCATATTTGAAATAAAATTAGGCATTAGATATGAATAACTCTCTCAATGAAGATTTAAATCTTGGTTTACTGCATTATGAGTTGAGCTAGAAATAAGGACGGGACTTGTAGACTACCTATTTAAACTAATAAGGATTGAAGTTTGAAAAAATGATATTTTTTAAGGAAGTAGTGTTTTGAAGTCCAATCTTGATAGGCCATGAGAAAATGAACCTGGATGGCCCTTTTAAGTCCATTTTTTTTATTCTTAAAAAATAAAATATTTTTATTTTAAATATAATTTAAATTTTAGAATATATGTTTATACTTTAACGTTAAAATTTTTATTTTTATTTTTTATTTTTGAACTTTATAATTTATATTTTAAAATTTATGAAATATTATAATTAAAAATTTAAATTTTTTAAAATAAAAAATTATAAAAAAAGAGCTTGCAGGCTGAGCCTTAAATTCTTTAGACAAAGGTCGAACTTTAAAAAATGATCAACTTTAGAATAACCAAACTTATGGATTGGGGTTTGTAATGTTTTCTATTGGAACCAATGCTGTTTGTAAATATAATTGAAATACATGTTAACCAATTGGAAGGCCATTTTGGGCCCCAAATTAGGTGGGGAGACAGCCCGGTGCAGCGATAATGGGCCTTGGGTCCATCAATGCTAAGAGAAAGTCACTTAATTGTATCCATTTTGTGAGGGCAGTCTTTGAATGAGGAGGAGAAGCAGCAGCAACATCACAGTAACTTCACTTTGAGGGACCTGAGCAGGAGCTTCAGCTAATTCCTTGTGGTAATCCAAATTAAATAATGGATCTAGCAACATCCATTCCAAAACAGTCACAGAAATGTATCAGAGAAAAAATAAAATAGACTCGAAAAAACTATTAGACAGCATATATTATTGTAAAATTTAAGATTATTTACTAAATATCCTTAATTAAGGAAGACAGTATATTTAAAAATGCTTTTGGTTTTTAATTTGTTAAAAGTTCATTTAATAAAAATTAATTTGGTGAGAGTTAGTTATTGTAATGAGATTTATGTTCGGATATATTTTTTAAAAGTCCTTTAAATGTGTAATTACTAAAAAAGACAAATTTTATAATGTGTGGTTTTTGTTATGATTTATTAAATATATATATATATATAATATAATATAAAATTTGATATGGTGAGTGACATATATGATAAAAGAATGGGTAAATAATGTAAAATTTTATGTTGAATAATATATAATAAAAATGTATATATATAATTTTTAAATGTTAGAAAATATATATAAGAAAATTTTCAATAATATAAAATTTGATAATTTAACTAATAAAATATTATAAATAATAAAAAATTGATATGTTGAAAAAATATTTATAAATATTTTTATTTTCATTTTCAAATATATTAACAAGGGGCAATATGGGAAAAGACGTTGTTAAAATTTTAACTTTCCACATTTGAAAAGCCAAAAGCAACTTTCCCTAACTTTTTGAAAAAGGACTTTTGATGCTAATATGAATGGACTTTTAAAATGTACATGTAAAAATAAAATGTTAACCAAAATAACTTTCACTATCTAAAAGCCACAAAAGTCCTTTTAAAATGTGGAAAGTGAAATACCCAAAAAGGCACTAAAATTTGGAAAAGAAAAAAAAAAGCACTAAGATGGTTGAACTTGAACCAATGGTTTTATTTGCTCTTACGGGCAAAGTTGTCCACAAATATTAACATCCATTGAAATTCTACAATGACAATTAGTTTGAGATGCTTCAAATTGGAGGTGAGAAATTCTCATGGAAAATATCCCATTCAAAAAGAATAAAAAAATGAATTATCAATTTATTTGAATTTTCAAAGAATAGCTAAGCAACAGGTTGCTGATTGAATGCCAAATTTTATTAAATTATAGTTCGAAAGATCTCTATTTTCTTTGCAGATGATATTTGATTAAGATAAAGCAAGGGGAGAGGACTATCTCCTCTTCCTTCCCATCCTCTTCCTCTCCTCTTCTTAATTTCTAACCATTAAATTAAAATTTTGAGTGAGTTAGATTTGATCTCCTTCAAAACATTTCATTTTATTTTTTTACTGTATTTTTAAATTGTTTTTATTAAATTTTAGGAGTTTGAATTTTATTACTTATATTTTTATAATTTAATATATATTATAATAATTATTTTATAAGATATCAAATTTAAATTGTCTAAATCTTGATCTAATAGTTAAAAAGAAAAAAGAATGAAAGGGGAAGGGAAGAAAGGGCAGAGAATTCATGCTCTAAAGCAAGAGATATCAACGACTCTTGGATCTAGCAGTATCAAGTTGTGCCTACGTGGCACTAAGTTCCGCCCTCCCGTGATTCTTCAGGCGCTTGCTTACCCTTAAAAAAATAAAACATAAAAGATAAAGCAAGAGATGGTGATTATTGTTTCTTGTTGTTTTAGCGTTTATTTAGAACTTTGTTTCTTAATTTTTTTCCCTGTTTCTTATTTTTATTCTTAATGAATTACTACTTATTGTTTGGGAAAAATTAGTTTGAGATTAACAAGAATTCTAAAGTATTTCCTCTAATCTTATTTATAAAGTAGAGAGAAAAGATTTTTTTTGCCTTATTTATA